TCATTTAAGGCTTCATAATATGGTGATATTATTGGAAGTTTGGGGAGTAGAACTTGGGACTCGAAGTAAGTCACCGGGGTGGGGGGGGTGGGGGGGTGATACTCTTTGACCATATCTTGCCTTGGGCTCTTCCTGTGTGCTCTGATATCTGCTTCCTGTTGACCAAGGAGTTAAGAAAGCACTCCAGCTCATGTTCCCACCATATGGCATTCTTCCCAAAGGCAGGGAGTTGTGAGACCATGCTTCCTTATTAAGTTGTTCTACTGATTTTCATAACAGCAATGGAAAAAGTAACACAGGGACCTTCCTTTCTAGTATTGGACATTGTTCCTGTTAATAATCTTGGAGAATATAGTACTTAGTATTTATTTGTAATCTTTATAATAGGCAAACAGAAGGTTGATTAAAATTATAAAATTGACTGAAGTGGTGGCTCAGTGGTTGTGAGCACTTGCTGCTTTTGCAGAGGACTTGAGTTTGGTTCCCAGCACCCACATGGTGGCACATAATTCATTTATAACTTGAGTTCTAGGGGATCCAACGCCTTCTTCTGGACTCTGTGGGCACTTACATACATGTAGGCAAACATTCATACACATAAAATAAAGTAAATCTTTAAAAATTATGAAATTGTTTCCTTTTTTAATTGAAAATAGATTCTCCCCTTCCTCTACTCCTCCCAGCTCCCTCCCTCCACCTCCCCTTTGCTCCAGATCCACTCCCCTTCCATTTCCTCTTCAGAAAAGAGGAGCAGGTCTTCAAGAGACAATGGCCAAAGAGGGCAAAACAAGATAAAATAAGCCAAGGTGAAAGCCCTCATATTGAGGCTGAACAAGGCTACCAAACAGGAGGAAAAGAGTCTCAAGAGCAGGCAAAAGAGTCAGAGAACACCTGTTCCCACTATTAAGATTCTCACAAAGACACCAAGTTAACAGCTATAACATATATGCAGAGGACCTGGTGCAGACCCATGTAGGCCCTGTGCTTGCTGCTTCAGTTTCTGTGAGCCCATGTGAGCCTTGCTTGGTTGAATCAGTGTGCCATGTTCTCCTGGAGTCCTCCATACCTACTGACTCATACAGTCTTCCCCCCACCTCTTCTGCAGGGTTCCTAAATCTCTGAAGGGAGGGACCTGATGGAGACCTCTAATTTGGACGCTCTCTCTGCATAGTTTTTGGCTGTGGGTCATTGGCACTCGCTCCCTTCTGCTGCTGGAGGAAGTCTCTCTGGTGACAACTTGACAATGCATTGATCTATAAGTATAGCAGAATATCATTAGAAATCATATTTCCTTTTTACCACATGATATTAGGTTACATGTTATAAAATGATCATTTCTGCATTGGTTGTAATTGTCATTCAGAGATTGTTGGATATGTTTTATTTGGGACAATAAAATAGAATACCAAACAAAATTGGTGATGTGAGTAGTTCAGTAACAGAATGCTTAAAAAAATCCAATTTAAGTTAACTTTCAGCCATAAAAGGCATGAAGATATATTGATCAATGGCAGGCCTCATATATGACAATGATCTCATAAGATTATAAGTGAGCTGAAAAGTCTTCTCACTACCGTAAGGACACAGCACAATGCATTCCTTACAGGTGGTGACCAGTGTAAAAACAAAGCCTACTAGTCCTATAAAAGTACACTGCCCAAAATTATGTATTACCAGTATATATTTTCTAGTCAGACTTTCTTTGGACTGCCAGCTCCCAAATAATGACACAGAGACTTCTCATTAAGTATGAAAGCTCGGCCTTACCTTAGGCTTGTTCTCAACTAGCACTTAAAACTTAAAAATTAACCCACTAATATTACTCTATCTTCTTTCATGTGGTTCACTACCTCTCCTCAGTACTGTATGTCTGATTTCCTCTGCATCTTCTGGCGAAATCAGATTCTTTCCCAGAGTTCCTATATCTGCCCAGAAGTCCTGCCTGTCCTCTTCTGCCTAGCTATTGACCATTCATCTTTTTATTAAACTAATCAGAAGGTACCTTAGGCAAGTGAGGAAGGACAGAGACATGTCTTCGCACAGTGTGATCAAATACCCTGCAACAATACTTGGTGAGTTGCTGTGTCCCTAATGTATTTTTATTCTTGTTCTGGAGCGTGCTCCTACTTGATAACCTTTCCATTGTGGATGTGCTCTATCACACATGCCACCGCTCTATACATCCATGCTTCCTTCATTTCTTGATGCATAGCTCTTTCTTGTTCTGAAGTTTGTTGTTTTTCTCTTTGCCATCGCAGGAGCATGAGGCTAGGCCGTGAACATTCCATGTCAGTCTGGTGTGCCATTTGTTGCTTTGTTGGAGCAGGTGGGGTTGTATGAGTACGAGTTGAGCTATCCACACAATGGGAGACCTCACCTAATGAGGCATTTCTCAAAATATCATCTGACCATAAGCAAAGGGTGACTTTTTAAATGTATGTTGGTTTGAATTTGTCAGATTTTATTTCTTCTTGCTCTTTCTTGCCACAAGCACATTTTTAAAATTTTGCGTTTTCCACCCTCTTTATTTTACTTATGTTTTTTTATGTGATTTCTATGCTGTGGTTGTAGAAACTCTAACAGAGAAATATGAAGGGTTAAGTTATAAACATTTATTACCACAAGGGGGTGTGGTTCATAAGGGAATGACAGGAAAGAGACATGATTTTTTGTTTTAAAGATTAGGTCTTGTTATGAAGCCCTGGCTGTCTCTGTGAGCTCCCTATGTAGACCAGGCTGGCCCATAACTTACAGAGATCAGCCTGGCTCGGAGTGCAGAGGAATTAAATTAAAGGAGTATGTCACTACACTTGGTTAATATATATGTATGAGTGTGTAAACTTTTGTTAAATGCATGTTTCATTCAATTGTATTTAATAAGGTAAAAATAAAAACAAAAGAAGAGAAATAAGACAGAAACAATCTCATAAAATGAATAGGAGATTTTTCAAAGGAGCTATTCTTCCTAGCACTTTATTCCCTTGGCACTTTAGGAGTTGTGGCAAGGTTTGGGAGGGGACATTGGAAACTGCCTTGAAGATTATTGCCAAGAATTTCTCACTTACATGGCATTGGTGTGTACACAGCCTTCTTATTCCACCTCAAGTCATGAGTTAGCGCTTAGAGCAAATACATCTTCTTGGTTAGTTATTTAAATAGAGACAAAAGAGTTCGTTTCCCAATATAGCATGGTATCTCCTAGGGGAAGTGACTTCTTAGATTCTAAACTTCTCAATCAGTGAAGAAGGAAAGAAAGACAATAGACAAAAAACATCCAAATAGACACGGCACTGCCTTGCAAGACCTTGAGGGAAGAGAAAGCTGAGTCCCTGGAATTGCAGAGTTTATGGCCGATTGATGTGTAGCCTCCATGCGTGCTCTCATTAGAGTGGGATTTGGAAATACTGTCGAGGACAGACATTCGGCAGTTTAAACTTTATCCAGACACCAAAAGAGGCATTCCTAAGATTTCAGCAGCGTGCTGTTCCGACCCCATTTTGTTGTGGGAATGACCCTGGAAAGTTTCCAAACAACTTGAGGTTTTCCTAAAAGTGTTAGACTATGTTGCACATAGAAAGATGTGCTCCGTTAAGTAAAAAGAGGAACCCTCACCAGGCAAGGAGTTGTCTGTGATCTACAGATAGTCAACAAAATCAACAAGGTGTAAAGGAGGGTAGTGCCACAGAGGGAGACCCTGAGGACTGTAAACCGAGAAGGATCCTTTTCTGAGGCTCCTGATGCCCTCGCTTTTCCAAATGTGAGGAGTACTCATGGCCATGTGCTGCAGCCGGCAGCCATTCCATCCATCCACAGAGTCACTTTGTTATTTCCCTAATGTCACTTTGTCACACCACCCTCTTCATCAACTTCGTTTTATTAATTCTGAAAATGATTACCCGGGAAGTTAGGAGTTGTCAGTAATTTTATTGTTTCAGACCAACTTCTATAAATATTAGACTACACCATAATTTTTACAGCTATGAAGTCCAGGCTGGACTTGAACTCATGATCCTCCTTCCAATCTCCAGAGTTCTGAGATTACAGGTTTATACCACCATTCCTGGGGCCACACTATGCTAATTACGGCAACACCAAATAACTGTTTATTCTTCAAAAATTGCTTTGAAATTCTTTTCTGTAAGCCCCACCCAATTTATAGCTTCAGCCTGATTCTCAATTCGTAAATACTTTGCGTTTCCTTTTCTTTTCTGAGATAGCAATTCTAGTTTGGTGGCGGCTCCTGCTTTTGCACGCAGCTAACTCTGGTTTTCTTAATCAAGAAGTTGTTGTCATGGGAGTAAAATACCTATGTGGTCAATTTTCCCTGAATTCTGTAATGCAGTTTTCATAAATAGTGACTCATAGTTTGAAGCCACAGGCCTAGGTTAACAGTCCAAGAATCTTTATCGGTGCTCCTTGTCATGTCTTTCCTTCAGTGACAGATGGCATTAAAGCCAGAGAGGGCTCTAGGAATGGCATCTCCAGATCAGTCAAAGTTATTGCTTTTCCAATTAGTGAGATGTATGACGACTACAGGAGGAAGCAAGGGAACTACGCTTCCCAGCCGACCAGCCTACGCCCACCAAAAAGACTTTTGCGAAAAGATATATAGATTTTATGTAAATTTGGTATTTATGAGCACCAAACTTTTAGCACTGACATCTGCCTGAGAAGAAACTTCATCTACAGCAGTGGCAGAGATGAAGTTCACTGTGAACTAGTTTTGAAGACCATATGCTTCAGCAAGCCGAGGAGGGGCCAGAGGCTCTTACAAAACAGCTTTCTCCCGGTCTCACTGTGGATGATGCTGCACGACAACATTGTGACATCATAACTTACGAGCTTTTGCTTGCTGTTGCTCCAACGGAGCCTCGGGGAGTGTAACAGCACCTTGGAAGTCTACCGTGCTTCCCTTCCGTGGAATTTAAGGCACTTCACAGGCATTTTCTTTCTAAACCTCACAACATCTCTCTAAGGTATTGCCAAACTGGAGACAAATTTCACAGTTTAATCATGTGGAACACATTGGTAAATATAGATTTGCCTTTTAGAAAGTTGCTTCAAAGTGTATTTTGCAGCTCACAAGACGTTTCTCAGGGTGTAAACCAGTGGTGTAATGTAAAGCTTTTGGCCCTCCCCGATGTGAGCAGGGAGGATAGACGTGTTTGGCATGATGTTCACGGTGGCGGTGGCACAGGAGGGGGAGGGGCGTGCAGAGAGGCAGGCTAGTTCTCTGTCCCCCTCCCTTCTCTTCCTGTCTCCCAGACTACACAGGGTGCAGCCTGCACCTCCCCATGCTTTCCTTTCCATCTGCAGAGAAGGCCGGGATAGAAATGCAATATTTAATGAAGAATTTGTTTATATTTTCAGGGCTAAACAAAAAGCTGATTTAACTCACAGACCTGTTGACTAATTTTGGTAATTAAAGTGGTGTTTATAACAGGGTAGTTGGAAGATGTGTCTTTTTCATGACCTGGGAGGGAGTGATGATGAAGACAGGGTTGAAAATAGTTAACTTTGGACAGGGACCTTAAAAACAGCAGTTCCAGAAATGGCCTTGGAGGCAGGGATGTCAGGAGAGGATTCTGGTTGCTGGTTCTTGTCTGATTTTCTCTTGCAGGAGCATCTCTGGTTAGAAGCTATACCAGAGAATGTGATGGACACACCAGTCCAGGCGTTAGTTCCTTCTGGTGAAGAACTTTGGAACTGGACCTCTGGGCGTTGATGGTGTAAATCAGCCACAACTATCCCCAAATTTCAGGCCTTCTAAATTATTCAGGATCCCTACTCTTGATGGGGTATGTGGCAGAATCTTTAGAGGCCATGAAGGATGGGTACTCCCTAATTGAATATCTCTGGCCCTAGGTGGAGACATGGCATTCTGATATGCTCTAAAGATTGGAACATTACATACCATTGTCTCTTCCCTTAACAGTTAATTGAGCTGGGCCTGTCAATCACTTGTTCAAGAGATGACCCTTCAAGCAGGCTGATTCACCTAAAGCTGCACTAAAGAGAGGAATAATTCTCCTTAATGGGACAATGCACTTCCCTTCTTGGAAATGCTGCCTTTGGTTCAGTGGCTTACAGAGATTTCATGCACTCTTTTTACTCTGCATCCTAACTCAGAAAAGCATAACTTTCCCTTTTTTATTTCTTTCTTCAGATGCTGGCCAAAATCGAGACATATTTTCTTTGGCACTTTGGGCTTTCTCATTCCTTCTCTGGAGCTGCCCACTTTCTGCAGCTTGTTGCCATGTGGTGGCTTGCTGACCTCCATCGCTGAGCATGCCAGTCTAAGCCAAAGACAGGACTGTCTTTCTCACTGACCTACACCTCCTCCCAGCAGCCCCCATGGCATGCAGCTTGCTTGCCCAATTGTTTTCTCTCAAACGCTGGTAAAATTGTCCTGGAGCTTCCCACTGAGTCCACTTATGAGACTAAAAACCCAAAAGGAAAATCCATAATTTCCCTGGTAGCATATGACATCCAGTGTGGGGCTCCCCAAAGTTTCTGGCAACAGTAACATTTCATACATGTCCATTTCTTGTGCCAATTTCTCAGTAACTTCATTGAAAGGGAATGGGCTCTTAGAATGTTTCTTGGCAGGTGTAATGATTCATGCCTGTAGTTCTAGCACCTTGGATGCTGAGACAGAGGATACAGTGTTTAAGGACAGTGTGAGCATCACCCTCTCTCAAAACATAACAAACCCCCAAACAATCAGACTATTTCTCCCTCTCTAACCCCATTCTTTTCCTTTGAAGACCCCCATTTCACCCAATTTTCCATAAAAAGGTGACATGGAGCTGAGACTCAGATGGGTGTTCTAATTTATTTGGCAGCAAGTAGCTGTAAGAGCCCCACATGAGTCTCCCTGACTCACTGTATTTCCTCATTTCTAATTTAGAGTTCTGAGTTTAGAGCCACAGTTGTTTAGAAGATTAAATGAGACAGCACGTTATGAAGTCTAAAGTGCCATTCAGGTCAAACACATTATTTTTCTCTGCTGAAGAGCTCGCTAGCGGACAAGAATAAGGCTAGCCGGAAACGTGTCCACTGTCCAGTTTCCCAGAGAATGACTTGATATATCCTTTTGAGGAGCATCCAAACCAGGAAACTTTTGAGGGAGAGAAAAGGAGTAATTGATAATTACTGGAGGATAGAACTAGAACTTTTCCAGGCAAATCAAACATGCTCAGCCCACCCAAAGGCACCTCACAAGTGAGCCCCATCAGTGCCTGTTTGTGATAGGGAGAAAGGACTCCCTGGAATGTGCGACAGAGGCGAACCCTCTTCAGATGAGCCTGACTTGTGGAGCTTGGGTCCTGGACACTCAACAGCCACCGATGCACCCTGGGCCATTGCCTTCTGGCCCATGAATTTGAAAACTGAATTTATGGATGGCAGAATGGTGAGCTTTTAGAAAGGAACTTGATCATAAGAAAGGGTAAAGAAGTCAGCCAGCTCCTGTCTAGCAGAAGTGGGTCCCAAGAATGCTCAGTGAGCGACTTGTCCTAGTGGACGACTGGACCGACCAGCTCAATCCACACGGTGACATGCTCCTGAGAATCTGGGGACTAAGAAGTCCTCACACTGTCTGAGTTGGTCTAGATCCCTGGAAATCAAATTTCTTGCGGATACCTGGTCCTGCCTCTTTCACGCTAAGGGCAAATCCTCAGCAGGGAAGCACAGGGAGGGTCTAGCATCTATCTCTCCGCCACCGGTCTTGGAGGCAGCACCACCCTCCCGAATCCTCACCTTCTTTTGTTTAGACTTGATTTCTCTTTTGTTTGCCATCTCTTCAATGGAAAGCAGAGCTCTTCCTATTGTTTTTGTTTATTTGCTGAAAATGGAGATGATTTACATAGTTTAGCAAGGTAGTTGGTCTGTGTAATCAGAAATCAGTTATTAGCAATTACTTCCTTTCTTAAAACGCACCAAAACATTTGAGAGATGACCACTAACGGGTACCTGTCTGCACTAGAGCTCAGGCTCTGTAAAGGTTTACAAGTATTTGTGTAGGATTTTAAGTGTATTTTCAGAGTGGTTTTTTTCCCTTGTGGAACTTTGAAAAATGGAGAGAATTAAGTTGTTTCTAAAAAGCCAAACCAGCCTGCCATCTCTTTTTCTTTTCTGGGCTACGGTCCAATTTGCACAGCAGTTGCAAAGAAAAAGCAAACGCATCACTAGATTCAGCGAGAAATATTGTAACAGTATGTAATCTCTGTCAAGATAAAATTGCTTTGTGATTTACATTACAATAAATCCTGACCTTTAAGCGCTGCAGACTAAGCTAATCTGTGAAGTACTTTTTTTCCAACACTGAATCAGCTAGCGCAGCTCAAGCAAAGTGACTGTATTAGTCCCACTGTGGTGTGGTTAAAGAGCCTATATATATGGAAGCAGATTACAGAGTGTTGTTCTATGTGTACTATAATAAGTAGAATAATTGAAATATTCAGTCTGTTTCATCATTGTGAAATAATAGAATTATTTTAACCTCTCTTTTGTTTGCCTATTATGGGAATTACAAGTAGCTACATTTAAATATCATTAAGGTCTGATTTAGATTGATTAGAACAAGGAAATTCAGAATGAGGTTAAAATACCACATGACATTTCAGCCTTAATTCACTTCTGTGAGTTAAAAATTGTTATTTCTGTTCTTTTTCTTTCTCTCTTTTGGGTAAAATATTCAGATGTCATGTGAATTTTCCAGTATTGCCTTTGAGTTTTTGGCTTTCAGTCTGCTCACAAGGATTAGGTTCCCCCAATTCAGGAGTGAAATGCTTTTGTAGATATTACAAACAAACAAACAAACAACGAGAACAATAGTCAGATTTGGAGATGTTCAAGCCAGCATTTCCTCAGTATCTTTTCTCTTCCTTGTATTTCAGGTCTAGACCACTGACTGGACAAGCTGACGATGTCTCAAAGGTAGTTTGGACTTTTCCCAGTTGGTTCCGGGCATTCTTTACTTGTGTGGACACTATCACACACTTTCCTATATTGATTTTTGTATGTGGTATCTACTCTGCTTTTAGGTAGATTTCAGATGCTATTTTTTTTATTTCAGCAAAGTTCAATTCTAAAAACACTCCTGTTTCTCTCTTCCTCTTACTCACTTCTCTAATCCACTCACCTCTACCCTCTGCGTCATTCTGTGACTACAATTGAAGAGTGGATACTTGATATTGTAGTTGTGTTTGGATTCTAGACTTGTGTTTCTTTGAGTAACATTGCCTCTCGTCCCAGCTTAGGGATCACAGTCTCTGAAGCCTTCTCTTGAATATTGCTGGGCAGGGTTGCATGTAGGTAAGCGCTGAGGTAGTGCCTGCCTGGAGATATCTTAATTCTCATATTACCAGATCCTTTCCTCTCTGTCTGCTGGTAATATATCCCAACTGCAGCCTAGTAGGAACTGTGGATAGTAAGCTGGGCAAATGGTGGAGGCCATGATTCTTCTCCTAAGGATCACACTTTTGTGCCGTGGAATATATGAAAACAATCATTCACAGTATGTTTTCATGTTTTTCATTAGTAATGTGAAAGTCAGAAGCAAAGTCTCAAGGAAATGGAATTGAAAATGTATGTTGAGATTCTCCGTTACTATAGTCATGTGTCCTGTGATTACAGGGATACACCTGATAAATCCATCCTTACACCATTCCATTGCTCTGCTAACATCTTAATGGAGAATCCAGAGATGTACATAAGAAAGTGCTTTACAGGGTGCTAGAGTCCACCTTTTCCATATTAAAGGAAACATTTGTGCATGCATGCTCTGTGTGTGTGTGCACGCTCGTGCACATGCGTACATGCACATGGGCAGCTCCGTGCCTGTGGAAGTCAGAGGACAACTTATAGAAGCAGTTCTCTCTTTCTGGCATGTGGTTCCAGGGATGAAACTCCTGGCATCAGGCTTGGTGGCAAGTGCCTTGACTAGGTGAACCTTCTCATTGTTTCTTCTGGCAGCTGTTCCTCTGCTCTATTTAAAAGTAACATTGAGTGAGGGGAATAGACTTGAGTTTAGTAAGACAAACTTTTTTTTTGTTATGTTGTGTTATTTATTTTAGATTTTTATAATTAATTTATAGGATACCTCGAGGGCAGTGTAATTTGCATTGTAGGGGCCACCTGAGGAACTCACTGGGGACAAAGCACTCTGTTCTGCCTTGAGCACAACTGCCTGGAACCAGAATTGTGCATGCCATGTCTCCCATTATAAATAGAGACATCCTCGGGGCACCATATCAATGTACACCAGACGGTCTTCTAATGCATTTTGAGGGGGAAAAATAGCAGTTTTGATATTCCCAAGATGAGAGAAATATTCCTGATGCTACAAGGGCACTTGAGAATTTAGCTGAAACATTTGTATTTTGAAAGGTCAGCTGCATTGTGCCAATTTTAAAGTTACAATATAGTGATTTATTTTGTGACAAAGAGTATGAAAGTATTTGCTTAAATGAAAGATTATATGAGAATGTTGATGTAGACAAGGTTACACATATACAATCATATTCTTTCATTTTTATAACTAAATTTTAAAATACTGCCAACTTAATGAAGTGTTATAACTTTTGACTTTTCTCTATACAGTGTTCTGCGACCCAGGGTTCATAAGCATCTCACCCATCTTTTGTGGTATTGAGTAATTCTACCAAGATCTTCAAAGCAGCACTTTATTTTCATTAGGGAGCCTTCTTCTAGCCTGGAACCCTTTCCTTGGGTTTAACTGACAACCTCTACCCTTTTGTATACGCAAATGCTGATTCCACACAGCCTCGGAGCTGATGAACCTTTGTTCCGTGTGTTTAAATTGGGACTCTGTCATTTAACTCATCACCTCTTGTGTTTAAACATTGTCTCTGGGTTTGGGGTTTGTTTTCATTACTTTCTTCACTGTTTTCGTGTTGGAACTTGAGGACGGAGTTGGGGTTGGGGATTTCACAACTCACATCTGTTATCACCATCTCTCCAGATTCTCCCTGTCTTAACTCTTTTATGTTCTTATCAATTAATGACAGTTGGATCATCTCCAACTGTGGTTTCTAAGATCAGGGACTACCTAAGGTAACTCTGTTTGGATCCAGTTATACCCAGAAAAGGGAGGAAGGGTCCATGAGGTATCCTGTCACAGTCATGATCTGAGAGTCTGCATGTCTATGTTTAAGTTGTTCTTTGTATGATAATTTTTGTCCCCTGAATAAATATGCATCTTTGTATATCCACCCGTCTAGTCGCCCACTCCCCCATCCATCAGCCCATCCATCCTAGCAGTGAATTACAAAGTCTCTTCTGGGTGCTGGCTTTGGTTTTAAGTGTACTTATCAGGCTTGGCATGCACTTGACACTGTACATTGCCATACTGTGGATATATATATTTTCAGATATATAATCACCTAAGCAGCCTCAGTTGTGACTCTGAGGAGAGCTGTGAGCACTGTGGTTGTTTTGGTCCTTTCTGATAAACTTTCTCAGCTTCTCTCCAGAGCCTTCCTCGTCTGTGATCACAACCTGGACCACTCAGCATAATGAAACCCTAAGGCTTGAAGCTTCTGGAGGATTTAATAATCAACTAAAGAAAACCAAGGGACTTCACCAATAGGCTAGGAGCTGGACTATTTATGAGCTTGGATGAAATAAAAAAAAATACAGGAGCACAATTTCAGCCAAGCTTCGTTCGTTCGTTCTCTCGTCCGTCCTGAATGACCCCGTTCCACAATGGAGCTCCTCTCTCTTTCACCACATGCCCCGAGGTCCCACAGTCTCTCCACTAAACATGTCATGTGCCAGTCCCTGCTAGGGAGTATTTTTACATTTAAATTTCAGCATAAAATTTTCTTATTAAAGCCTTACTTGCATATGCTTAAGAAATCAAACAAGACTTCAACACTCATTAGACAGTAGCTTTATTTCTCTTCTAATTCCTTCTCTCTGGAGACAACCACTCTATTTTTAGCTATTTACTCTAATAATTGTTTTTATCTAAGTAACAACTTCTAGTACTATTTCTTGATTTGTCAGTTCTAAACATTATTCATTTCTACTTCCTATTGGAAAAAAAAGTGTAGTTCTCTCCTTTTCTTGTTTTTTAATAAAAGAAATTACCCTTTCTCATCGTTCTAATGAAATCATACAATCATTTTAAATCAGTTTGTTCACATTTTTATGAACATATACCTATTTAGCATAGATAAATGAAACCACACATTATCTTATGTTTCACTTACTTTCTAATATAACTATTTTCTCTGAAATAAAAATTCCTTGGGGGACAGAGTGGTGGTGGTGCACACCCTTAATCCCAGCACTTGGGAGGCAGAGCCAGGTGGGTCTCTGTGAGTTCAAGGCCAGCCTGGTCTACAGAGTGAGTTCCAGGACAGGCACCAAAACTACACAGAGAAACCCTGTCTCGAAAACAACAACAACAAAAAAAAACAAAAACAAAAACAAAATAACAACAACAAAAATTCCTTGGGGGCATAATCTCTAGGGTTCGATCCCCAATACTGAAAAAATGTTTCTTTTTTATTGGTTCTTACTTTTTCACATGTACATTATGAAGTCACTCCAACCCTCTAAGAGAGCTGCTGCCCTGACACCAAAGACCTGTGATAACGTCCTTGGTGGCAGCGAGGCCTGTGCTCTTCCCTCCTCTGGCTGCTCGATCGTCCGCAGCCACACGGCTGACTTCTCCTGGCAGCCACTCACCTGTCACACACACCTCTCTACTGGGTCCCGTTGGTGCTTGAGGTTTTTCCACTTTTCCGATTTTTTGATCTTCCTTATATCCAAGGACTTATTTTTATTTCGTGTGTTTTGCTGACAAGTGAGCATGCACCTTTGTGCAGTGTCTGTGGAGGGCAGAAGGGGGTTCAGATTCTCGGGAATCAGAGTTACTCACTGTGAGCTGCCGTGTAGGTGCTGGGAGCCAACCTGAGTACTTTGCAAGAGTAGATAGTACTCGTCACTGCTGAGCCATCTCTCCAGCCTCATGTTTCAGTTTTGATTATTTTCTCTAATGAGTCGTTTTCCTAGTCATTAATCCTTTCTTACACTTATCTGATCTCTTATTACACTCCTCTACTGATTTCTTAAACTCAGTTATTTTGTCATTTCTAGAATTTCCATGATGTGTTTGAAAATATAGATGCCAGTTTAGATGAAACTCTTCATCTTGCCATCCTTCCCCCTGAATATGTAATTATAGTTATTTAAAAACTATTTTGACAACTCTAATATGAGTGTGTTTCTATTTTCTGTTTGCATTTCTCTGCTTTTGGTCAGTTCAATTCATGGCTTGTCTGATAATATTTTACTGAATGCTGGATTTAGTAAATTAAAAATAACTGAGGTTCTGAGCGATTTTATGTTTTTCCAGAGAGATCCCCCTCCACCCTGCAGCAGGCATTTAGGAAGAGATTCCTTATCTTGTCCATTTGGTAGGTCCATTTTCATGCTTTTCTTACCCTTAGGTGGTTCTTGCTGAAAATACAGGGCTGTTCTCCAACCCTGTTTTGACTTTCCTAAACCAGAAAGTTGAACACAATCTACGGACCACCCTTTCAGATAGCTTCGGTGCCCCACAATGCAAAGCGGCAGATGCTCTGGGCATACAGTTTGGTGAAGGTGTAGCTTGTCTCCAAGCATCTCCCCTTCTGCTGTGGTCGGCCAGCCCTGGCTGCCGTGACTGTGTCCAGTGATGTGAAACAGCTGCTGTAATCCGGCTTCCAGATGTTTCAGGTGGGATGCTTGTGAGGAAAGATGTGTCCACAGTAGTGGACACTGACAGTCACTTTATGTGGACTTTCTTTTCTTTTGAAGCTAGTGATATCTTCTCCTTGTCTTGATGGTCGTGTATGCTAAGTTTTCATAGAGGCAAACTTGTAAAAATTTCTCATTCATGACATTGTTCAGAAGCTCCTAAGTCTCAGGGTTTAGGGAGTTTTCCTGCATTTTTTCTTATCTGTAACTCTTGATATTTTGATATTGGACCCCCTGAATGGATCCCCGACTTTTGACATTGTCCTCTCTCGTTTCCATGCCTGTGTCTTCCTCTCCCCCTGGGCCAGCTGGTTCATTTTATTCAGAGAAGAACCTTCCACTCTTTTGTCCTGAGGCCGCAGTGTAGCTACTCATTCTCTGACAGTCAAGTGAGGAAATGTGTGTGTGTGTGTATGTGTGTGTGTGTGTGTGTGTGTGTGTGCACATGTGTGTATGTGTGTGTGCACATGTGTGTCTGTGTGTGTACGTGAGTTTATGTGTGTCTGTGTGTGTGTGTCTGTGTGTGTGTGTCGGAGGTGGAGGCTGTTCAAACTCGGCAATATTCCTGTCTTCACCTTGGTGTGGGTCCCCAGTTTAGCCATTCCTTTCGTCCTCACTACAGAGCATCCTGAGTCCCATCTCCAGGAAGCACCAGGACTGGAGAGGAAGACAGCCTGATGTCGCCCACTCCAGACCATCTTCAGCAAGGCTCGACCCCGTACACTTGGGGAGTTTCTCCGAGTTGTCGAGACAGTCTGTACACTTGCTTCTCGTGTTTCTAAACCATGTCTTCAGCTCTTGTCTCAGAGTTTTTCTTTCCCATTTTTATTGTCTTTGTGGATTTGTTATTTCTTACTTTTGTTCTTAAAAAAAAAAAAAAAACCTAGAATTTTAGGGGAAGAAACATAAAGCAGGTGTTTTCAGTTCACCATCCTCACTGGAATTTTCAGGTGCTTTATGTACATCAAGCGAAACTTCCACAGCAGGTATTAATATAGATGAGGGAAATGTGGAAGTAACGGGAAATGACAGAGTTAGAATTAAAATTCATTCTATCTGGCACAAAGGCCCTCATTTTAGAAAACACCTTTTTTTCTTTTTACTTTAAACATCTAAGTTTTGTCCCCAAGTATGAAGAATTCACTTTTTTCAAAGCCAAGTAATTCTTGAAATTAAAAAAAATTCACAACATACATTCATCCACTCTCTCTGTTTAGTCGTTAATTCTTATGTACTTGTCCTACAAAAGTAAACTATAATTTTTAAAAGCCTATTTTAATTTTACAGCTTTTTGTTTTGTATTTGAAATTACTAAGCTTAGCCTGAAGAAAATTTGTTGTAATTGAAACTTTTCTCTAAGTCAAGATTCTACTTCCTAAAACATTGAAGCTGCTTTGCTTTATAGAGAATGAAGTTTCTTGTTTAACCTTGAGTTATTTGTTGCTAGAATCTGAAGATGTGGAGAAAGTTTCTTAATATGTTTCTTTTTGGGCTCTCCAGAAGGACTTTCTGCTTCCTGTTGGCAGACCATCAGGCCAGTTTCTGGACATCCTTGTTAAAATATCCCCACACACAATGAGTCAGGCTTTATCATGGGGAACAAGTCAGATCCTGTGAAGCAAGTTAAGAGCTGCCACAAAAGACAACTTACACCGTCTGCCACAAACAGGGAGTTTAAAGACTGGGGAGTTTCTGTAAAATATCTCTGTCTCAAGAATGTACATCTCGTTTGGGAAAGAGAGGGAAAAGGATCCCTACCTAGAAGACACAGGGAAGGGGATTGATGGTTATTTACAGTCATTTCAAGCATTCTTTTCATTCTGTGAGACTAAAAAGGAACATGCTGATCCTTCTAGCTACCATCTACTTCCAGGCAAGAGCTTCTGTTTGTACTTTGTTCCTATTTTCAAGGGGCAGGATAGTGTATATCTGCTAAACAGTTACTAATGAACCTCCTGCCCCCCTCCATTTTAGGCTTAAAAGCCATCTTGTAATAAAGACAAATTAGGTTCATTCCTGTTTATGATTAAATCTCTATTTCTCAAGGATTGAGCTATGTCCCACCTGTAACCTTAACTACATGGGTTCTGTATTGGCTGTTTCAAGAAATGGCAACCACGTCTTTGTTTTAAAACCATCTTGCAACCCGACCTTTGTTTCAAAGGGTTGTTATGACTGCTTTATTATAACCACCTTGCAATCATGTCTTTGTTTCAGGAGGTGGTTATGACTAATTTGTTATGCTTATATTCTGCTCTTGTGACCCCGTCTATTTTGCTTGCCAAAGCCCCCATTTGGAAACCCCTGCCCATGAGCTATAAAAAGCTTGTCTTCCTCCTGTCCAATGCTGATCTCTTAAACCTCACTTTAGGGAGAGACAGCCCATTTACACAAATAAAAGGGCTTGTTTTAATTAATTGTTTGCTTTAATTAATTTGACTGTAATGATTTGGGTCAGTGGTCTTTCTCCTTGAATCTTTGGGATTAACATTACAAGAAAAATACCCAGATAATCAGAGACCAATGTTTAAATCAAGAATGAGTTATACCCCAGCCCACTTGTTTTATTGCTTTTTAGTATTTCATTCTTCATTTCTCTTTAACTTCAACATTATTGCTTGCTTAAATAGTTAAATTAATTTTATTTTGTTAGCAGTATACAAGAGTTTTGCTATACATACTTACTTTCCAAATTTCTATCCCCAGGAGTTTTTTTTCACCCCATCAAATCAAAGCATTTGCTTACTCTGTTGCCTCTGAATACTTTGTATATTCATTTTGCTTGACTTTTCTTACACACTTACACTCTGTTCTCTCTCTCTTTCTGTTTGTCTCCCTGTCTCTCTGTCTCCCTGTCTCTCCATCTCTCTCTGGTGATCTCTGAATAGTTCTTTTCCACTCTCTTTTTTCCAGATTGATTGTAGTACTTATAGTTAAAATGCTGACTTTATGTAAAAATACACCAAATAAATGTTGTTTTTCTGAAAACAGAAGATGCACATTAATATTTTCATTTTTCAATGTGTGTTCTTTAAAGAAAGCATTAGGGCTGAAGGAGAGCCTAGTGGTCAGTCCAGGTCCCGAGGCAGCAGATGGCTTTGCTGTGCTGTCTCAAAGCAGGGTGTTGGTATTTGGGACAGTCTCTGTAATATCCTGGGGCATGTAAACACCAGAAGACAAAAGTTCTTAGAAAGGCAACTGATTCAAAGAAAAAGTAGTGACATACCAGCCGAGTGAGTAATTAGCAGAAAGAACAGACCAGGGACTTTTCTAAAAACAAGTAAGCAAAGAGAAATCTTTAAACCATGAAAGAACACACATGCAGATCTATTATAAATCGCAGCGACCTCTTCTCCAGTAAGGGCAATTGCCAACAGCCCGCTCTGGCTAAGAATTTAGAAATTGCTGTTAAAACCAAGCGGAAGTAAATAAAAGCATTGGAAAGAAGAGCTTCAGGATGACTTTGCTCTCAAGGCTTTAATTATAAAAAGTAGTGGTAGAGAGGATTGAAATCTGCTGTCCCCAAAGCGGGGTCCAGCAAGGACTGAAACTGCCAATGCTAGAAAAAGAGAACTGGAAGCTATGGTGCGATTGCCCCTGAGATGCAGGAGGAAAGGCGAGCCAGTCACGCTGAAGGACTGCCGTCCTGGATGACACGTACATTACTTTCCTCTTTGTAAATGCCAAGTTCTGTGCGACACAAGTTCAAACCCGAGTCTGCTCTTCCTAACCTCACGGGCGTCTTCCTCAGGCTTCTTCATTTAGTCTAACAGGAAAAAGTTTGTGTGACTGTCTTAGGGTTTCTATTGCTGTGAAGAGACACCATGACCACTGCAACTCTTATAAAGGAAAGCATTTCACTGAGGTGCCAGCTTACAGGTCAAAGGTTTAGCCCATTATCATCATGACAGCGTGCAGGCAGATGTGGTGCTGGAGCTGAGAGACCTACATTTTGCAGGCAACAGGAAGTCGACTGACTGTTACACCCAGGGAAACTTGAACAAAAGAGACCTCACAGCCCGCCCCCACAGTGACACAGTTCCTTCAACAGGCCACACCTTCTAATAGGCCATTTTCCTTCAAACCCTCACAGTGACCCTCTGCGGACGAGCTGGTGAAGGTTTCTTAGAGCTGAACTCCCACTGGCGAGGGAGATGAATGCTCCAGGAAACAGAAACGCTGAGGAAAACAGCAAGCAACCTGTAGCTCAGATGTTTAGAATAAGAAATGGAAAGATACAGTGTAAGCAGATGGCTGCGAGCACCTCCCACATAGCAGGGTCCAATAAATACTCCATGGAAGAAGGAAAAAAATATAATTATGAGTGCTGGAAGAAATTGTTCCAGAGTTGATGGGTACACTCCGACAGGTAATAAAAATAACCAGCCTCTGGGAAGCCCTTGTCACCGTTCCAAGTCATAAGACACCTTTCGAAAACCAGATCTTTCTCTCAATTTACCCATTAGGAAAACCGAGATACAGAGATATTAAATGATCTTTTTTAAAAATATCTTAATATTTATTGCCAGTCATATAATGGTATTATATATACATTGGTTTGTCCAAGATCTTTCAGTCAGTAACCAGTGAGCAACAACTGACATTCAGATCTTTCTGTAGACCTCTGTTTTCAGGCAGCGAGCTGCAACTCTTCCCCTGAACAAACTGCGTAAGGTCAGGATGCCCCTCCACCCACTTGTGTGTAGGAGGTGCTAGGTTCCTGCAGCGAGGATTCAGAGTGTGTCCTGACTAGTAGACAAGTTTGTGTGCACATCCCACAGCCCATGCACGGTCCACGGAAAAAGCCTGGACCCAGCTCATTTCCTTCCGTGTCCATCACTTCTTTCTGCTGCTCCTCTGCCCTCCATTGTAGTTAGTGGCACCATGGTCTTCTCCGGACCCTGTGATTCCTCCTCGATTTGTGGCTGGATCATTGAGCCCTGGGTTTTCGGATTTCCTCGGTCTGACTCTCTTTGTGACTGCTGAGGATGTCTGTGTCAGACCCTCCTCCTCCTGTCTGATAACTTTGAGTTTGTCTCCATTTCCCGTCGCCGGCATCTCTCTTCAGCTCAACCTCAGCCGTGCAGCTGGACTCATTACCCTTGACTGAAGAACTGCTGCCCTCAGGAAAAGGAATCTCGTTGCTCCCACAAACCCATTCACCACCTGAATGCTGATAAGTTGCAAATTTCAGTCTGCTGCCGGATTCATCATTTCCACAGTGTTTCCAGCTCCGTAAACACCACCGGTAGCTTTGCAGGTCTCTGACCTCCTCACTTGACCCCGCCCTTCCTAGACAGTCTGACTTCCGTCGGTTCCTTTCATTCTAACAGCCGCTAATCTGGCCGTGTCACACTTTGCAATCGACTGAAACACCAAGGCGGCCTTGAGAGTTGCCCTCTAACTAGGCGCTCTCTGCCTACTCGGGCTTTCACTTCTAATCTGTTTTCTTTCCATACATCTCTATTTTTCAAAGTTTTATACCTTTTTTGCATTTTAATATCTCTGAAATCAGACTATATTTTCTACAGTCGACTCCCCCTCCCTTTAAAAAAAGCCATCCCCTCTGAGGATTGTATTGAGTGACTCAGACATGCTGGGTCAGACACACCTCCAAGGAGCTAGAGCCCAGTCCTTTAAAAATTCTCTCTCTCTCTCTCTCTCTCTCTCTCTCTCTCTCTCTCTCTCTCTCTCT